AAACTGTAGAAAATTCTTCAAGAGACGGGAATACCAGACCACCTGAGCTGCCTCCTGAGAAACCTGTATACAGGTCAGGAAGCAACAAAGAGCCTCTTGATGAAAGTGAAAGAGGAAGTGAAAAAGCTGGCTTAAAACTCAAAATTCAAAAAACGAAGATCATGGCATCTGGCCCCATCACTTCATGGCAAACAGATGGGGAAACAATGGATACAGTGACAGACTGTTTTCTTGGGCTCCAAAATCACTGCAGATGGTGACTGCAGCCATGAAATAAAAAGATGCTTGCTCCTTGGAGGAAAAGCTATGACCAACCTAGACAGCATATTAAAAAGCAGAAGCATTACTCTGCCAACAAAGATCCATATAGTCAAAGCTATGTTTTTTCCAGTGGTCATGTATGGATGTGAGAGTTGGGCTATAAAGAAAGCTGAGCGCTGAAGAATTGATGTTTTTGAACTGTGGTGTTGGAGAAGACTCTTGAGAGTCCCTTGGACTGCAAGGAGATCAAGTCAGTCAATCCCAAAGGAAATCAGTCCTGAATATTCATTGGATGGACTGACATTGAAGCTGAAACTCCAATACTTTGACCACCTGATGTGAAGAACTGAGTCATTTGGAAAAGACCCTGATGCTGGGGAAGATTGAAGATGGGAGGAGAAGGGGATGACAGAGCATGAGATGGTTGGATGGCATCACCAACTCAATGGACATGAGTTTGAACAAGCTCAGGGAGTTGGTGATGGACAGGGAAGCCTAGCATGCTGCAGTCCATGGGGTTGCAAAGAGTCAGACATGACTGAGCAACTGAACTGAACTGAATTGAAATAATTCACTCCATTCCAAAGGGAAAATCTCATTCACAAAACCAAATGCAGTTATATCATTAATTCACTCAGTGGTTTCCACATGCCTTTGATGGAGAACCTTTGACCTGTCATGACTCTGGGGCCCAGAATCCAGTCCTGCTGCCCTGCCCAGTCCAGCACCCCCACCTCTGCCCCACAGCCCCACCCCCAGCCTGCCCTCAGCTCCCAGGCACAGTTGTTCTGCTCACTGCTGCCACTTTACCCAAGTTCTGACACCATGGGGGGAAGAAACTGTAAAACTTTAGTCCTATTTCCAGCTGCTGAAATAAAATTTTACTAATTTTACTACTATGTGTTTATTATTTTATTTCCCCAGCTCCATGAATGTTTTCCTTCAGAATCATGTCTAGAGGATATTTTTGTTTCCTTAAATTTTCTCTTTTAAACTAGCCTTTAAACTCCAAAGTAATTGAAAATCTGTCCTTCCTATATTTCAGGCTAATTCTCCCTAAATGGCACTGGCCTTGTTCAGAGTCTTCTGGCTTATATATAAATTTCTGGGGGGAAAAAAAATCACTTGCCTCACGAATGCTACAGCTTAAGTCAGGCTGTAAAGACACGGGAACATAAAAGTAAACCATGTTTGTTGAGCACAGATGACATAAAATGGTTGTTATGAATATAATACACCCTACAGGGTTTTATAAAATGATCTGCCTGGAATCAAATATCTGTACCTAAAATGAAAAGCGCTAGCAAGCTAGGAAGCACGGCAGCTGCGACGGCACACAAATGCGGCCAAGAGGCGCTACCCCATGCCCGAGGTCAGGGGCAGCGGCCAGGAGGAGCTACCCCAAGTCCAAGGTAAGGGCCAGTCGCTGCACTTTGCTGGAGCAGCTGTGAAGAGATACCCCACATCCAAGGTAGGAGAAAACCAAGTAAGACGGTAGGCACCGAGAGAGGGCACCAGAGGGCAGACAGACTGGAACCACAATCACAGACAACTAGCCAATCTGATCACACGGACCACAGCTAGTCTAACTCAGTGAAACTTAGCCATGCCATGTGGGGCCACCCAAGACAGACAGGTCATGGTGGAGAGATCTGACAGAATGCGGTCCACTGGAGCAGGGAATGGCAAACCACTTCAGTGTTCTTGCCTCGAGAACCCCACGAACAGTATGAAAAGGCAAAAAGATAGGACACTGAAAGATGAACTCCCCAGTCGGTAGGTGCCCAATATGCTACTGGAGATCAGTGGAGAAATAACTCCAGAAAGAATGAAGAGATGGAGCCAAAGTAAAAACAATACCCAGTTGTGGATG